CAGGAGTGTTAAAACTCTGATATAAACAAATCTTCCTATTATTCAAAAATATCTCATGCATGCATGTTGATTTTGTTACTGTACTTTCACCATCACATACTAGGGAAACACAGCAACTTAAGCCTTCAAAAGCAGGACACCTACATACACACATAGCAGAAGCAATGAAGAAGAAAATAGTTCCTGGTTTTTCTTTTGATATACTTTGGTGCTTAAGAAATTATTTTCAGACTTTTCCTTATGATGTGGAAGCAGGTACATGAAAAGACTAATTATACATTGATTTCTGTAAGTGATACTCTATCAGTCTGCAATAAGTTTTTCTAGCATATTTGATAAAGAGAAAGGGGCTAGTGGCAATACTCTAAAAAGAAAGTTCTCAATGTCCTTTTAATATCTGGGTTTGCGGACATGGGAAGATTGGGGGGACTAATTTTGGATTTTTTGCATTTTTTTTTTAATTAAACTTGTTGATTCCCAGTTCCTCCTCATCTGGTTTATTAATATTCAATATTTTGGTGAAAGACATACTGAAGGAAAGTTTAAAAAAATTACTGACATAATTTCCCTCCCTTTCAACTGCTGGAAGTGAAAATCCATCAGTTTCATCAGCATTCGCCTTCAATTCCTTTCCTTTCCTTCCTCGGTCATCTTTTAGAGGGATGGCGAAAAAAAGGGAAACATGTTGCTATCTTAAAAAAAGGCAGAGTCTACGCAGGGAAGGTAAAGAGTTTTACTATACCCCGTTACACTTACAGTGGAAGTCCAATGAAGTGTGAAACACAGCATTTTCCTCAGCTTTTGTACACAGTTTTACTCTCTCTTCAACCAAACTGAAAGGAAAAAAAATTAAGTGTTCTACAAGAACCAGAAACACAGCATGGAAAGACAAAGTTTTGGTTTTAAATGTAAAGCAGGAAGTCCTATGTTCTAACCCAGGAAACACACACACACGCACGCACACACACACAAAAAGTATTTTGAAGCCAAATTAGAAGCTCTATTTCAAGAAGTCTCACAAGTAACAATAGAAGAACCTTGTTTTCAGTCCGAGAATTTTTACAGGTGTTTTTTGTTTGCTTGGCTTGCAGACTATCAACCCACCATTTTAAGTGGTATAGCAGTTCCTAAAATACCTTCAAAAGGTGGTGAAGTAACCACATTCAAATTATTCTTCATGCATCAGATTCAGACTTCAATTATATGATCAACCCACACAACGAAAACAACTCATGGATACAGATGGCAGCTCCCTGCCACATTCATCTCGCAGGACTAAGTCTCATTCTCATACTGAAGCTGCTTTGACAGAGCTGGCAAAAGACACTCTCCTCTTTTGGGCTCCAACCCAGCGACTGCCGCAGCCAGGCAGGAGCAACTGCAGAGGCTCCGTGTTGCAGCCCTCGAGCAGCCTGGCCACCTGCACTGGGCAGGCAAAGCCTTCGGGAAAGGCACCAGCGCTTCCCCAGTCAGAACACTGATCCTGCCTCAGCCATTTGCTTTTTTAAGTTGTCTTTGTGTTCCTTAGTGTCACACAAGTAACACAGAAAGATAGGAGGTAGATACTCAGGAACGCTGCTCCTGGGTAGCGGAGAGAGGGTTAGAGAGCAAGAGAAAGACCCCTTCCTGTCACACTGGTCACAAGAAGCAGGACTGAATTTTCCATCCTGTGCCCTGGTGTTAAAGAGCAAATATCTGCCACTTTATACATCAAGGACTGCTCAGTTTACAAGCTAAATAATGTAACTATGCAACTACTTAATTGTATAATCTGGAAGCAAACCTTCAACCAGAGACTGTGCAAACAGCCTTGCATTTTATTTTATCCTAGCTTTCTAAAAGAACCTCTTGCATAATGTGGCATATTCTTAATACATAAAAGCATATATATTTCTCCTTTATTTGCTGTAGGACAAACTCAACGTAATACATTTACTTAAAAATTACTCAAGCAGGAAGGTCAAAGAACTTGGCACTATTTATTACATGGCACATACAGTTTTCTCAGGCTGTCGAAGCTATCAAACCCAGAAACTCCTCCAAGAAAGGTGGCTGGTGAGAAGAAAAGACTATAGAACACATACCCCGTTAGCCAGCAGGAAACCTGAATGGGACACAGAAGTTTGAAGCCCATCTTCAAAGTCTTTTACTGTATACAGAAGTTCACACTGAGCACGGTAAAATCTCTATACACCAATAATAAGACCACAGTTCATAAGTGAAAATACATGCACTTTTCAAACCACAAACTGAAGGCACTCACAGAAATACCAACTACCGACAAGTTCTTCCTTTAGTCTCTTACAGTTTTAAAAGGTACACACTGGGAAAAAAAAAAAAAAAAAACAAAAAACAAAAACAACAAATAAAAAAAAAAAAAAAAAAAAAAAACCAACACCCTCCAAAAAACCCCATCCTACTAAAATATTTCTGGCCCTCACCAAAAAGGTTATTTAAGTGAAGTTTTAAGGAATCTTAGTTTTGGTGCTACCCAAGCCTGAACTCAGAATAAATGGAGGCACGTTACAAACAGTAAAAAGCTTATTACAAAAAAACTTATCCAGAGCCCTGTGAAGAAACCTCTTAAACTTAAAATAACTTCTGAAGTGTCTGAGCATAAATTAGGGGGGGAAAAAAAAAAAAAAAAAAAAAAAAAGAAGGGAAATAATTGGTGTTTAACATTTATAATAAAGTGAACTCTAAGACAGAGACAGAAGCAGTATTACTGCACTGAAGAATTGTCTGCAGTATTTCAAGAATAAATGCAAATAAAAGCTTTGTCTAAAAGAGGGATTTGAAAGTACACACTAGATCATACCTTAGAGTCTTTAACTATTTTTTTCCTCTTTATGAACGAACTTCAATTAAAGATTCCTCAATAAACTGTTCTATTACTAGAACCACATTTTCAGTAGACCCTTAACACTTTCTGTTAACCATTCTTTCAAAGAAAAAGCAAAGACAGCATACAGCAAAGAACAACACCAAAATAATGACATTTAACAACAAAATAATACTAACCTTCTCCTTCAGAAGAAAGCTGCAGTGTAGGGAAAGGAAACAGCTTGTAGAAACCACTGCTAGAAACACATTTAGACAGAACTACCTCCAAACAGGGTGTTTATTGGATTGTGTGAAGAAGTAACACCTGTGGCTGAAAGCTTGTTAGGCTGTTGCAGTCCTCATGGATGTTATTTTTTCAGTGTGCGTGTGTGTGGTTTGCTTTGTCCTGTTTTCTTTTAAACCATGGAAGAAGGCGCTCTGTGTCTACATGGGTGTTTTTATGGGTGCATGGTTAATAAACATTCCTGAAAACCTGATTGTAGTAAGCACGCAGTGTTCCAGAGGAGAGAACACTGCTCAGTGTAGGATGTGGCACAAACCCAAGGGGATCATTATAGTAGATTATATCATACAAGTCTTACAGTAATTGAAGATTATAAATATAGTCCTTATCCACAACAGTTTATTTTGCTGTCCTTTAGTCTATGAAAAAAGACTAATTCATGTTATAAGTAAAAAAGGAACTGATGTTGATGTAGTAATTGCTGAGTGTGTAGAAGTGTGATTTAAATAGATGGTGAAAATGGATGGAGGAAGCATGGCACCCTCCATGTTTGCTCTTCTATTTTGCCTCTTTCAATTTCAGTAGTTCCTTGTACTAGGCCTGCTCTCTCTTCTCTTGTGCTAATATTCAAGATACATGCCTCTTCCCTTCCACACTTTCTGAATAACTAGCCTGGCTTCATCATCTGTGATAGACTTGCAGTTGCTTTTTAATACTGAATTCCCTAGGACCAGATCTATTTAGTATCTTTAAAAACTGATGTAAAACTAACCATTTTTTTCTCATACAGACATCTATTAGAGTAGTCCTCACCACCTTGTCTCACCTCCAGTCGCTCTCTCCTTAGTGACTTACCTGACTCAGTTCAAGGGATGTGACAATCGTCATCATCTCATGCACAGTTCATACAGTCAGACTGCTGGTGGCATTCAGGTACCTACTTTGATTTTTGAAAGCACTGCCATGAATTAGGAAACCAAGTGTCTTTGAAAACTAGACCCATAATAACCCTGGTCCTCAATTCATCCCTTCTGAAGAACTTATCAGAGACAAAGATCTGTGAAATGTATTGTTTTTCTTGTCATGCTGACAAGACTGACTAGAGCACATTCACTCTGGAATGTAGAGCTAATTATTGATGATAAGAAATGCATGAGAACCTGACTAAAAGGAATAACAGTTTAGAGTCACTGCCAGTACCAGTCTCAGGAAAATGAAAGAAGGAAATGGAGGTAGGTTGGCATCACACATACACTTCCAATCTTCCTGTTTCCACCAAGAAGCAGACACACCTACAAACTCTTGTGATTTATCTTCAAAAGACCTACATATAAGATTAGAAACCCTATTGATAAAGTCTGGTACAAACAAAAATCACAGCTCTTCCACAAATACACTGACTAGCATCACCTACCAGAGGAAATACCATTCATAGGTGGGCAGCTGTGCCCTTGACTGGGCACAGGGAAAAATGGCAAGCTCAAAGACTGGTAAAACTTTGTAGTTTTATTAAAAATTGGCAGTTGCATCCCTCCTCTGCTAAGTTGAGCAAGTTTGTTGTTTGGCTGTGTGGGGCTTTTTTCTGTGCCAGAGGGCATTTTTGGGTTAGTGAGCTGTGAAAGCAAAAATAAGCAGCAACCACAAAGCAATTATCAAGGAAGCAGCCTGAGCAAACAGCGTATCTTTTTGCCATGAGTCTTCCTTCCTCAGAATGACAGACCAGGCTTCAGCGAACCTGTCAGCTTGCGTGAGATACAGAAAATGCCTGCCACAACCCAGTTTCCTCTGGATGTCTTAAATGGACATGAGGACGAGGTCTCTGCCAGTCTGCTGCCCCTGCAGGGCTGTGTTTTCTTTGTGGTAAGCACTACTAAGGCAAAGGACCTCCAGGCTCATTAGCTCAGATACAGGTATAATTAAGCAAAATCGAAGAGAAGCTTTAACTCCAGGTTTATTTTTAGACTGAAGAGATCTGAATAAGAATTTTTAAGGATGAGGCACCTTATTAGATCTGTGAACAGAATTTTTAAAGTTCTTAAGTTTATTTACAGTCAGAAACATCAGTCTTCAACAGGAACAGTCTACACACAGAATCTGACATTAACTTTCAACTCCTGCTTCATGTTTAGGACTTAGAAGTTTGATACATACAGTCAGACAAAAATATAAGGATTGATCAGGTACACTGACCCTGTCAAATAATAATGCTTATTTCAATTACAGCAAGCATAAAGTTTCTCTTATATTACTAAGGCACAGAACTAAGTACTGAGCATGTTGCTGGAGGTTAAAAAAAAAAAAGGAAAACTTAAAGAAAATAATTTCAATCAGTAGTTCAAGTAACCAACCCATGAATCCTTTTTCTTCTCCTGCAAGATTCTGAATTCAAATACAAGTCAAATACAGCAGTACATGACACCCTAGCAACTGCTTTGAAGACCTAAGTGAAGGGGAACAGTGGTCCTAGAGCAGATTCTTGTGGAGAAATTTAGCAAAGGTCAAAATTAGGTGATAAAGAAGTTGAACTGAGAATGCTTCAAGTTTCAAATGTTGTGGGAAGAGACTTCCTGCATGGAAGCTCATACCTCTCTCATTGAGTTGTACTTGCTCTCCACATGATGTTTCTATAGTTGTCTGCATTCTTCCCTTCCTTAACACTGGAGGATTATAAAGGAGTGGATTAGGTTTCCAAGTGAGTTGATTTCTTTCCTTAAATCCATGGCATTACTTGCAAAGGTGAACAAGGCAGTAGAAAGATCACTGGCTGGTAAAGATGAAAGTGTAAAGTTTGTCTTGGGAAGACTTTGAAATACCTGAAGATAGTGAACCACAACACAGGCTGAATGGTAGGTGACTAGTTCAGTTCCTCACTTATAGTCAGTGACATGACTCTGTCCTCTGTTAATGGTGAATTCTCATTATCAGCTGTGGCAGAAGGGAAAGGTATAAGGTACAACCTTCCCAAGGTAGACTGATTACTCTAAGAGACACGCAGTAATATGGTACGTTCTATGCTATAATTTAGTATAGTATTTAGTAAAATACTACCGTAACACAAGTGGAAAATATGTTAGTTTGTTAGTTCCCACTGTAGAATTGAAACTTATTGCCCACCCTCATCCCTACCCAACAAGCCTTAGGACACCTTTCTGGGTGATATTGTTTTCTCTCAGTGAAATGCTAAAATTCCTGGTTTGTTTTGAGTAACAAATTTTAGTTGTCTATCTTCTCACTGGCAGATCATCTTCATTTTCCAGTCCTAGCAACTGCCTGGATTGCTCTGATCCACTCTGTACGCTCTGTGGATGAGGCTGCTTGCAAGTAATAGTGGATTTCATTTGCTGTGATGATTTCAAAGAGGATGTTGTCAACATCATACTTCTTGGCTACAGGGAAGAAATAAGGAAGTCAGCTATGAGAGAATAAAGTCTTGTATTGACAATGTTTCTTCCCTTACACACTGTAAGGGGATTTCGTTCCTTTCTACAGCTGTGCCTGATCAGGCCTTCGCAAACAGCTTACAAGATTGGGTCCATGACATAGGTCTCTCTTGGAGAAAAAATCCATGAATTCCGCACATTTCACCTTCAAGAATCTCTGGTTAATTAATCTCTAATCATGGAAGGATCTGTAATCCTGCAGACAGGTCATATTTCACAAACCCTTCCATGTCTTGCCAGCTATAAAAACAAACACTTAAGCTCACATCATGTCTAGAATCTCCAGTTCTTTTCATGTCTGCTCGCACAGCCTACACAGGTGCTGAGATGCCAACAGACTTTCTTGCTGGGTATGACAGTCTGCCTCTCCCATGGAGAGGAGAATGCATGGAATGAGTGTTTCTTGTTCCTTGCATAACCATTGCTGTTCCCACAACTACTAGTTTTGGGAAGGAACAGAATGTAAACAGTTATAATTTGGTGGCATAACCATTTCTGATGTAAAGCTTCCATCCCAAATTCATCAGCTAAAAAGAGCAAACTCGGCTTATTTTGTCGAAGGCCAGTTATTCTAACATAGGGATGGCATCATCCTTTTGACAAGTCTTCTCTAAACAACCAACAAAACACAAGATTCCCTATTTCTACCTTTACCACAGTATCCTTCCCCAGTAATTAAGACACCAATAGAGAGACTAGTTACTAGAAGAATTACTGAATCATTGCACATAGATTGCTTTTAAGCAAAAACTACTTGTGATTTCAGGCAGATTGAAAGATTGTACCAAAAAACTTATTACACAGCTCATTCAATATGGTTCCTTACAGTCTGGCATATCTTCCACTGCTGTCACCACGCAGCCTCTCAAGTGAATTGCTCCTAGTGGTTCTTCTCCCTGGTGAGGACATGAAATCAAAATGAAATGCAACACTTATGAAACTGTTCACATGTTAATATCTGGATACAACCCCAGAATGGAAACAAAAACATTTGCTGACTTCGTACATCACTTGGGAAACCAGGGGATTCTCAGTCTGTGTGTGACATGGAGAGTGTGGGGCCATGGGTGGTGGGTGGAAGACCTGCAAATAAATAGGAAATCTCTTCTGGGATTTGGAATTCAGGATCTGCAGAGTATTTAGTAAGTCCTGAACAAAGGTACAAGTTGGCCTTGTGCCAACTATAACTTTTCTTTTCATGTCACAGTGAATAGAAAAAAAGATTAGATAGAAAAAGAGTAGATCTTAGAAGTAGTCTTACCAAGCCACAGGAACAGCTCTACCCTTATTTACAGTATGGCCTCTTGTGCACTTCAGGACTGTGATAGTCAAAGAATGGGTGAAGATGCATTTTTGTTGGTGTAAGTTTCAAAGAAGCAGTCCCTAATAAGCTGACACACCTCAGCCCTTTGGGAGGGGAAGCTGGGAGTGGGAAAGGCAAACTGGGAATAGGGAGGCCAGAAACTCCTCGGTGTTGATTCTTCAGTGTGTTTATGCTGCCTTTGCCAAGGGAGACAGGCATGGCATAAAGCATCTGTAACCCACAACAGCACTGTTCCTGCAGCAATGCAGGATGAAATAAAACCTGTGGGCTGAAACTACCTGAATGCCAGCTTTTGTGGGGCAGGTTTTGCCCATGGCAATGCCCCTTCCTCTCTTAGGGCAAGGTTTGGCCCATTAGAATTACACGAGAAATGGAACACCATGTCTCAGCCTGACACAGAAAATACCTCAATTATAAACAGCAAAATGGCTGTATTGTGGTCATTTGCACTTATGACCTTGTTCATTTTAATCAAGGGAGAGCACACATTCATTCTAATTAATCACAAATAAGAGGTGAGAGCAGAGTTTGGTGTTACTTGTTCCCAGGTCTAGGTGGCTCTTGCCACCTTGACTTGGCATCCCCAGAAACCAGCCTTCACTCTGCTTTTCCAGAGGATGGCTAGGCCATGTGAACGCAAACAGCCCCACTGTCCTGCTTGGTCTTCCCTATACACATTCCCATGCAAATACTCCATTCAGATATTTCTCCAAGGGGTTGGTTTTAAAACAAATGAAAATAAACAAAATGTCTCTTACTCCAGCAGGATCATAGTAGTGAAGATATGCAGGGTCCTCTCTTAAAACAAACTTTCTCACTTTCCAGTTCTTCCTCCGATGTCCCTAGGAAAATTCAAAACCAGGAATGTCGTGAACTGTTTTGCCTGCAAGTGCATACAGTCGGCTTACCCACACATGAGGGAACAGGCAAATACAAAAGGGAAAAAGCTGAATATTTTGGACAGGAAATATTCACTGGACTAGGACTTGAACCTAGCTTTTCTGCCTCCCACTGTTTTACACAACAACTGGGCTATCACACTGGTTTCTCTTTTTATTTTTTATACAAAGCACAACAGCTTCAACATGGAAGATTCCCCTAAACACATCTCATAGTCTGGTAGTTATGATATTCACATGAGGTCTGTTAGAACCAGGTTTAAATGCTTGTCAGAAAACATGGCTGCAAAATGTCTTGCAGGAAGGTACCTTGAACTATTGGCAAGAATGAGCTGAAGGTCATTCTATCCCTGCAAAGATGACAAGAAGCAACAACAACAAAAAGGCTTATCTGGATTAAGCACCTGGAGAGGGTTCATGGTTGAGAAGCTCAAGCAGAAATAACACCACCTTCCAATATGGATGTAGATGCCTCACTGCCTGTTTTCAAGACTGAAATGATGGGTGGGAAAAAATCTACATCTGCTGAAAGTATTCTCAGCAGAAGCAGTGACACCTCCAAGCAATGATCCACAACTCACTGAAGATGACCAAATCCAGACTAATACTGGTAGAAGACTGTCACGAATCACTTCCTCTCAGCATTTCAAAATATTTGTTTCTCAATTAGCTACGCTGTTTGCAAGAAAGCTCTTACTAACTAGGCAGACGTGAATGTGACAGGGTAAAAGTTAGCAGGAAGATGTGCATCTGATTTCTTCCATTGCTTCTGAGTAATCTGACTGAGCAAGAGAAATACAAGTGAGCACCACCAAAATTTCTTAAGTTCCCAAGGAGTATTTTAACAGTGGAGGCTCAGACTTGATATTAGGAAACATTTCTTTACAGAGAGGGTGGTCAAACACTGGAACAGGCTTCCCAAAGAGGTGGTCGATGCCCCATGTCTGTCAGTGTTTAAGAGGCATTCAGACAATGCCTTTGATAATATGGTTTAGCTTTTGGTCAGCCCTAAAGTGGTCAGACAGTTGGACTAATTGCAGGTCCCTTCCAACTGAACTATTCTATTTATTGAAGAATCCTGGTCTTGCCTTTCAGTTTGCTATTATCTGCTTGCAGTGGCCTCAGAAAGTAAGGATCTTACCATGACAATCACCCTATTGTTTAAAGTTTTGTGGGAAAGGAAGGTATACCATTATCTTCCATCTTACAGATGGGACAGGATCAAACATTAGTAAGCGAAAAGACTCCTTTGCTCAGGTATGATGAAAAAGCCTGTGAAAACTGGCAACTAAATCCAGTTGCATGGCCAGAGGGACACTGGATTGGGAGCCATTATACCTGAGTTCAGTTTTGCATTGTACCAATGACTTGTCACATCTCCTGCTTTAGCACTCTTTCCTAATTAAAACTATAAACTGTCTTATTTCATGGTAAGAGCAATAAACCTTGCAATGTTGGGCAAAATCCCTTCTGCCATGCTACAGCAGGTGTTCTTTGTGCAAGGCAAGAGGGACAGAGATGAAACCTGTCTAGTGTGAAGATGGCATAGGCTAGTTTCTCTCTTCTCTAAAGCTTTTTGGTGTAAGAGTAGTCTTGTATCCATGCAACAACATCCCAGTGACGGGATGGAACATGTGCAATACTGACCTGTTTCAGCAAACATCCTTGTTTGACTACTATGCCTCTGAATTCTTCTTTCAGGACCACATCATCATCACTAGAATTTCCCTCGCAGAAAAACCCACTGTCTGGCTGTATGACCACAAGAGAAAATTCAGAAGTTACACAGCTGCTGCATGTTTATGTACATGTACAAATCTGGCTTCTCTTTGGCTTCCCTCCGCCCTGTTTTTTGCCACCCCAAAAATCAACCATTTCATTGGAAAAATCTCCCAGTGAAGTTGAGAAACACTCCCAGCCACCATGGAAGCCTTTCAGTGTGAGGTAGGACTACACCAATGGGTCTCAGGGCACGTGAAGAGAGCTGGAGTATCTGTATATATCTCAATGCCTCCATTCTCCATGATTCTTGGTGTCACATTTCCTCTGTGATGGATGGGCTACCTCAATCCCATGATGTCACAGATTTTTAAATGCACAGACAGCAGTTCATATGAAACAATGCCAGCACAGCCAATACACTCCAGGCTGGCCATCCCTGCACCCAACACACCCTTCCTCTTCCTCCATCCATCACAACCATCTAGAATTTGGGAAGATGAAATGCTCCATTTAGGCTGTCTTCTCCAACAACAAGAACTCCCCCTAGTTTCTAAAGTTTGCAGTTTTCTGTAGCTGTGATGCTGTGATGCGTGCACTGAGTGCAGGCTGTCTCAGGATCCAGGCATCACATCCATTCCATACCAGATAAATTGTGATGCTACTTACCAAAACCTTACACTCTTCCAATGATGTAAATGTAAGTTACCATTTGTATGGCTTAGAGTAAACATCTCTGCTGCCTACTTGTATGACAACAAGTCAGACATGGACCTGCTGTGGCCTCCTCACACCACATTGGTATTAAATCAAACTAGAAATAAGCTGAAAGCAAGCACAGCACACACAGGCTGCTAGAAGAAGTGTCCTGGGTAGCCAAGGACTGTGATGGCTGGCTGCCTTCATCAGCAGTGTCTCTGCTTCCATTGCTGCACAGGTAAAGTCTTTCTACTAGGGACACGTTCTAGGAAAACAAACGAAGTAACAGGAGACCCATTTTGCTGAAGTTGAGTGATTCTATGTTGTAAATAGAATTGTAATATTCAAGCATTTTACTTGACAGAAGGCATACTCTTTTGTTAGTATAAGTTCGTAAGGCAAACATCTTTAAAACAGTATTTGACTGTAAATGTGATATTGCAAGTTCTTCAAATCAATCTACAGAATATCGAGCAATAAATTGAAAAGGTTGTGTAAGCTACCCAGGAGAGGTGTTACTGGCAGATAATAAAAACTTTTCCTTCTCCACTCATAGGCAAGCTCTGTGTGTGTGCACAGACACACTGAGTCAGCTTTGATGGCTCTTCACAAAAATGGGTTTGTAGCTTGTGCCACTCTTGAGAAGCCCCATGATAATGAATTACTCTCTTCCCTTCCACTGAATCATCAGGGGAACTGATGGCTAAATTCTGGTCACTGGTGAAATTACCAGGAACAAAGTCTAAGCTAAAAATAACTCATCTTGATCTCAGCACTCTGTTCACACTTAGAAGGGTTCCAGAAAAAAAAAAAAAAAAAAAAAAGTCTTGCTTACAAATATTAAAATGAGCTAGTTCATTCTGACTGTCATGTAGAGAAAGACAATTCACAAGGATCTCTCCATTTTTGTACAACTTTTTTTCCAGGATTTAAGAAACCCAACAAGAAGTCTGAGAAAACCAGAGCATCAGCAAGTCTGGGACAATTAAAAAAACAGAAAACAACACTCACAAAGTAATAGTAGGCATCGCTGAGATCTAAGAAGGGGGTGTCTGACAGTCCCTCAGCAGCAGCCTTGGATGTATCCCCTGCAGGGTGTAGGTAGCCTTCACTCAAGAGGGAAGAGGCAAGCATGACACCTTCTTTGCGATTTCGGATGGATTTGCTAGACACCAGCCAGTCAATCACAGAAGTGCCTGGTTACAAAGGAACAAACTATATCAGCCACAAACCAAGACAGACATGAAGAAGCCTAAAAACAGGCAACAAGCCTACTCCATCTCTTCATCAATCTTCTGAAACATGTTCTTAGTGACAATGCAGGCAGCTAATCTGAAAAAATGCCTCATCCAGTGAGGTACAGCCGATCTGACTGATGGCAGGGGCCAGTACAACTCTTGAACACTGTCCTTGAGGGAGGAGAGAGCTGGGAGGGGCTGCAGGGCTGAGCTGGGAAGCCTAAGGGACAGGAACTGGGGAAGTATGAAGGACAGACAAGCCTGGAGAAGGCAGTCTTCCAGGCTGCTACGTTACTGACACAGTGCTGTCGAAACAGCGTGACTTTTGACTCTAGCACCCACAGATTTGACTTGGAGCAGGACAGGAGTTACAATGTCACACAGTTTGTTGATGAAAAATTCAGAAAGGAATAATTCTTCTGGAGTCAAGTGTATCATGCAACTTTCTACAAAGATCTAATTCAATCTTTCTGGCACTTGTTATATTTCTTCCTCCTCTCTTGCTTACCGTGGCCATAACTGAACACTTTTTCAAGCACCTCCTGTGTTGGTCAAGAAAACATCTGCCAGGTTTTCTTCTCAAACTTCTCTGGGCTCTACAGAGCTTAGAGCTGTTTTATCTATCTTTAGCCTCTTGGCCCTGCACTTCCTTTGTTGTATGGAAAAGAGGAACAAGAGCTCCTTACCTGTAAAGCAGTGATTGAACACTTTTTTATCTTTTTCCAGCTTCAACTCCTTTATTCCCTTTTCAGGATCTTTCATTGAGAGGTACAAAGCACTGTGCATACACAGAACCACAGATACTGTTAGCAAGTAAAATGCTTTAGCCAGTTCCTACAATAATATCATTGTCGTTCATGGGGTCTTCATGTTTTGCTGGCATATTGCCCTCTGCAGAGCTACAGCATGGCTTAGTTTAATCTCTTGAAAAATTTACATTGCAAAGCCTGGAGGCCTCACTACATCACTGTCACAGCTGCAGGAGCAGATGGGGGGGGAGTGCACAAACAGCTCAGCACACCTCCCATATTTTGAGAATGGAACAACTTGTGGTGACTGTAGTGTGAACAAAGGATTACCAGCTGCTAAGGCACCTTCACAGGGCCCCACACCCTCTGTGCCAACAGAGGAGCTCACTGCTTTGCGCTGTATTCCCCCAAAGGTCTTTGGCTGAGCAGAAAAACTGCCACTGTGACATTTCCAAAGCCTGTATGCTCTCAGATGCCCTAAGTAATCTCAGTGAACCCTGATGTGACTTCCTTCCTCTCACCCACTTTTCATTTGCTCAGAACTCTAATTCTTTGGAGCTCTGTAACGACACCAAGGACACATGTCACAGGCTAAGTTCTTTGACCTATTAGTCAGGGTGATCCTCTACTGAAGCGTGTGAAGTCAGATTTAATTGGATCTTGGCCCTGTGCACTTTTACTGTCTTGTAAGGAGCACTGCAGGCTCATTTGTATCTTGGTATTTACTACCTAAAGGCAAAAAAATAAGCTGTCCTTAATTTTTTAAAGTACTGACAAACAGACAGCTTCCTCTGTGTGCCCTTTATCTCTTCTTCCTTTGCCAGTTCCAAGTTCTGTGGCAGGCATCAGTCTCCCCTCACCATCCAAAAACTAGGCTAACTTCAGTGTTTCTCTGGAGAACAAACAAAAGGTTTAAAATGTTTTTGCAATACATTATATACTATATAAAAATGCCTCCCTTGGAAGAATTACAATTTGGCTGGGATCTCCTTCTGCACTGCAGTTTGCTCAGAAACCTCCTCCTCAGCAAAATCCTTTGTGAAATAAGCATGTTTTGGTAAAAGATAATGTATTATAATGATCTTCCCAGTTCTGATTGCTAGCTTATTTCTGCCACACTGAAACTGCTGTACATGCTGAAACTGTTAGTCATGCAGAAAGGACTCTGAGTGAAACCAGAGAGAGGATTCATGGACAGACACGCTCACAGCTCTTCTAGACCGAGGTTACATATCTAGCACACTGCCTGTGGGCAGAAGTCAATGGGGGAGCAGAGCTATGAGAACAAACCTCAGGTTGATTGTTTCAGGTAGTCTGATAGACTTTCTTGTGGATTTTCTGGCAAACCTTTGGCCTCCCTCTATGCAATGAATTGCTTTCTTGATATCCCGTACCCAGGCATCTCTCTCCTCCAGGTAGGCAGCTTGAAAAAAGTGGTCCTGCTGCTTGGATGCAGTGAGCTTGAAAACAAACTGGAATGACAAATGATGTTTTTTTTTAAAAAGTTACTTTGCTGTAGCCAGTTGGGCACAATTAACCTAGTACCACCATGACATACAGCCTACCTGTGCCTAAGGGACTATTAAAAGTGCCTTAGAGCCACAGCTAAATTATAAAGCTCTGAAGAAGAACATATACAAGCAGTGCAAGCAACTGTCTCCTTATTTCCCTGTGAGGGATCCTGATGTCATCAGTACAGCCAAGGTGAGTGGCACTGATATAGTTGCCAATCTTAACTTTTGCTGGGAAGTTGAACACAGCTGAAAGGCTGAAGTGCCCAGCCTCTGCAGGCTTACAGTGGGTATAAATGTGTCTGAATGTTTATAGAGATGTGGTCAGTCTAAAGGAGGAAAAAAACCCGACATCATGTTGCTGAGCTACTGATTCACAAGGGGAAGAAAGGTCACAGTCACAGAGTAGAGTAGCTGAACACATTTGCAGCCTAGCAAACCTTTAAGGGCTTGGTAGAGAAATGGTACATCCAATCCCTGGCTACACCTTATGATTGCTGCTTATCTTAATATACTAGCAGCAATGGAAAGACTGTATTTCCCAAAAATGAGAGAAGATCCTTTCAAGGTAGTTCTAAACAGAAAAAAAAATAACATCAACCTGAAAAAAAACCAAACCAAACCAAAACAAAAAAACACAAAGCACAAGTATAGCAGAATTAACATCACAGTAAGCATTGATCAAACTTCAGATCAAGAAGACCAAACAGTGGCAAATGCCTTTTGAAAATCTCAACACATGCAGTTGCAGCATCTTCTGAACAGGCTATTTCTCTGTTTAACAAACCCAAGATTGTTTCCTTTACTCTCGGTACCTGCTTTTTGCAACTGATTTAGTAAACAAAGTGTGTCGGTGATTTGCCCTGAGGTTTCAAGTCCTGATGCAGATACACAAGCTGATTCAAAAAGCGGAAACCTAACTAGATGAATATAAATGTCTGCTCATGGCTCAATAGTCCCTGTCCCAAACTGGTCCAAGTAAATGAGACTGGACTTCAAACTGACCTAATGAGAATTATCCCACTTTTTATCCTACAGAACTCCTGTCCTAAAAATATACTTCCATTTCTAGCCAGATGAAGTAAATGTATGCAAACCACTAAGAACCAGAATACTTCCCGTGAGAGGAAGAACTGCATATCTTGGCAGGATGGAATGCAGAGGCATTGGATTCAGCAGTATAGTAAAGCTGTAAAATGTTAGATACAAAAATCAACATACTACATTTTCAAGGAATACATGTAGAAATTTAGGTTTCATCATACTGGGCAGTAACTACTTGTAAGAACAATCCCAGTAATGGCGTTGCTTATATGAACGAGCATGTTGCAGTTTTGATTGTCTGAACAGTGCAAATTTTAAGAGAAAATATGTCTCCAGGGCTATTGTCTATGGACTTGCAGAACGATCTCACCAACACATCAAGTAGGATTTGCTCCAACACCTGCTGTAGTTGTTTGGATTGCTTCCACTGACTTCAGCAAACTCCACATCAGATCTTACTTATGAAAAAGTGTTTTATGTGCCTCAACCCCCAGGTCTGAGATCTTTCCTTTTTTCTCTGTTCTCCCTCAGAAAAGGCCCCATCAACTAAAATGAAACATAATGTAAAACTCATTATGTAAAATGAAGCATAATGTAAAACTCATTTCAGTCAAAGGAACGATCATCACCCTTCACTACAGACGAAATGCACCTTCTGCAAACTAGTACATCCTCAGGCAACCCTCTGGGCAGGTGAGGATCTTACTCACTCTGCCTTTGGCAGATATTGGATACTTCAGACCTCTCTGCCTATTTTGTAAAATGCATATACACTGGTGAATTATCTTTTCGTTATGGTTACATATGTTGCTGTTACTGACATTTCCAAGCAACTATTATAGACCAATACTGATGTCAGTGCCTCTGCGGGAATTAAAAAACAAAACAAAACCCTCCATGAAACTGTTTGGAATGCTCTGTGAGAACTTAATTTCTACCATAATACTGTAGGATCTGTAATACTCCTGAACATAGTACCCTTCTCCCATGCATTATACCTCATATATAGAGTAAGGAATGCTGTGCTGAGACTTGTTAATTAGATGGTGTAGGGACATGGTTTCAAATCAGCAGAATTAGAACCAAATGTGTGCACATATACTTAATTTCTGTTCTTTTATTTGGTTATTTAATGTTCCTGCCCCATTCTCTAGTCCCTAGATGTAATCATGCTTCAACTTTATTATTTATGGTTTGCAAAAGATGTAAAGCCAAGTGCTGCAACAAAGAGCTCCCAGGCAATGCACTGACACCCAGCCATGCTGGAAGAAGCAGGTGGTCAGATCCGAAGCTGCAGGGGTTAAACAGTAAGATTTGCCAATCCATGCCCAAGGGTAACTCAGGCAGGAGCTGTTAGCAATATTAAAGAGTAAATGGGCTTGACCAGCAGTCAGTCTCAAATCCTTCTGAATCAGTTGAACAATCACCCTTGCCAGCTCAGAGATCAAAAAACCTATGATGGCCATGGGGTGGGAATGCATGACCAGGCAATTCTCTTTCCAGGCATGATAATACAGTCTCCTGTGGACAACTCCCAGTACCCAGAGAGAGGGAGGAAGAGGTAGTAGCTCTTGATGATCCTCGTCTGGGTGGGATTTCCAAGGCAGTAGTCCTCTAAAACCTTTCTCTTAAGTTAAAATCCCCTTTTTCTTAACAGATATGAGTCTAAAAAGACTCCGTAAGAATCAAGTTTTGTTGTTTTTTTTTTTTTTTCATAGAAATATGGGGTCTGCACAATGAAGGAAAAAAATAAGAAAAAAAAATAAAAAGAGGTAGAAGAAAGAAAAGAAAGAAGGAAGGAAAAAAGAAAGCCAGCAGGTCCAAACCTGACACCAGGGACCTTTATTCCACTTACCACAAAATCTAAGGACAGGTATAATTCTCCTCACTTTACTCATATGAGAAAGTGAAACTTGTTCTCTCATGCACTCTCTCACACTTTCTTTCTATTTTTCTAATGCTCTCAGAGACTTCTATCTTTAGTCAGGCATCCTTGCGGTAGATTTCCTTAAACTGTAATTGGATAATATTCCAGATTCTGGAGGACCCCTTTGTCAGAGGAATTCCTGGGGGTATAATGCCTGATGAAACTGAGTTGCTGAAATAACAAATGACTGACTAAAGATACGATTCTTTGCTCATACCAGAAATCCTGCTTTACCAACAACTGTTTTTCTGGAACCCTATAACAAAATATGTATGCTTGTACATTTATCTTCTGGTATCTTATTTTCTGTCAAATAAGTCTCTGAATTTGTGAATATGGCAATCTGTGAGTTTCACAGGGAATTGGGACCTCAGTCTGTGCACTTGCTACCTGCGACCATAGAGATCCCAAGTGTGTAGGCAACATTTGAACTACCTTCTCTAAATCAGTTTTGGTTTTTGCTCTCTCTGAGTGTAGATGTGACTCTACTCACTTGCAAAAGCCCTACCAGTAACAATGCAGTGTGTGATTAATACAGATTGCATGAATATGAAGTATATGGGGTCAGGCAGTCACCAAATGGTAATAATAATGTTTGGAATTACAGCTTTACTTGGGCATTTGTGTCACAGCATTTATTTCCTTCCTGTCTCAGCAAGCCAGTTGTTGCTCTTTGACAGTAAGTAAATGCTTCCACTGCTCATAAAATAGCTTCCTAAACTTTTATTTTGTGGCAGCTAGATTTGTATTTAATACAGGAGTTGTGCCATTCAGCTGCTAAGTGTCCTCACAACAATATAATTTAGCTCTGCTCTCTAATAGAGTCTGAGATTTAAAAAAAAGAAAAACAAAAAAACAACACCCAAACAAACAAACAAAAAAACACACACATTTTCTGAATTGCTCCTCTTGAAGTATTCCGAATTTTTCCTGAGCAGTCAAATATTTCAAATACTACACAAATCTAAGCCTGCTTGTGACCTTCTAAGACAAGTGAGGGTTGCCACTAGGATGAGTGTGAAGAATTTGTAACCACCAGGCTTTTGACCCTTCAGTGCCTCCAGAAGTATAACTATACTGTCAGTCATTGTTATAAAAGAAGTACTTACCATTCTTTTGCCAAAATCTTGGCATGGGCTGTGAATAGAGCTTCCTTTTAGTGGGACCATCCCTTTGGGGCTGTTGTCAGCCTTCCGCTTGTAGAATTCAATTCCATCTTCTAAAAGCACAACCCACATCGGCTTCCAGGTATTAAACATGCTGCCCTGCATCAATAAATCACTGTGTATATTATGCTCAATATATCACTATTCACATGATATCCACGGAGAAGATGGCCTTCCAGGGAGTATCTGACTGACACTAAAACAACTATAGTTAGTGTCTCAAGGGGAACATACTACAACTGTGCCCATCTTAATATGCAGTTAAAAAACACTGTTGTTACTCTTCTGTTCACCATTAATTTCCCCTTGTAGTCACCCCAGCCATGAGTTTTTCCAAAATCACATTGCCTGCCCCAGCAGGTGTTCCTTTTCAGTATTATTTCCAACCACTGTCTTCAAGATGACATAGTGGCAATATTATGAATAATCCTCAAAATTTCTGGATGTGAACTGCCATATGAGGGCTGCCTCATTAACTTGGGCATCCTGTGCTCTATTTAGGACTTAACGCTACAATACAGTCAGTCACTGAGGCTTGGCTGTCTGGTAAGAAAACACACATCTTGGAGGATTTCTAGACATATAAGAACAAACTGTAAGAGTAATGAATAGTTTAAGAGCCTGAGGCTGCAGATCTCTAACTGCTGTGGTGAAGAACTGAAGTGCTCCATTTCACCTTTTAAGGCTTTTACTTCCTATTCCTGAAACACAGCTGTTAGATGCAAGAAATACAGAGATAAAGACAGGGCCGGATTTTACATATAGTGAAACATGAAAGCAAAACTTTCAGGGACTCAGAGAGGAACGACCTGTTTCTCTGTGTTGAGCACAATTAACCTCTAGAAGTACTAAGACTGTTGCACTCTAGCTAGATGACCTCTTTGGTCCTGACTGCAACCAGATTCAAAACTGGTCACAATCCCAGATAACCAAGTGACTAACTGCTCATCCAAATGAACATTTAGATATGCTGAATACCAACTCTGAAGAGTTACCAAAGCACAACCAACATTTGTGGGCCCCAAATCAGAGGCCATCCTTTGAAAAGACTAGTTTCCCTTGCTCTTTCTGTTACAAAGAGAGACCTAAATTTATCCTCCTCCTTCTACAACTCCATCCACAGCATCCCTGTCCTCCTCAGACCATGATGGCTGAGCAGAGCGAAAGCTGCAGACAGAAGCAAGGTACCCACCACTGTGCTGTGCAAAATGGCTTGTTTTGGTTTGTTAAACCAGAGAACTGGGCGCAGTCAGTAACATTTGCATTTTGTATTTCTGCAGAAGTGAATGGGACAGAAACACAGTGAAGTGGGGATTTTTATTCCCCAAATTAACCCTTTGTCTGTCACATCCATTTTTTTGCTGCCTGCCCTTCCACAGAAGGCCTTTTGCACTCTGAATCAGACTTTATGTTCAGTTACAGGGTGGGGAGGGAAATGTGTCAGCCAAGATGGTATTAAGAGCAGGACCTGCTTCCAGCCTCTGCAGCCATAACTGAAAGCAGAATGTGCCCCACGGATGAATGCTACCTTCCAAAGGAAAGTCACTGCCCTGGGGGCTCTCTGGAAACCTAGCTAAACAGGGAACTACAAAAAAGAATCTCATCTGGGTACCACATATGGGCTGACTGCTGTTTTCTTTGGATTATTTTTTTTTATTAAGCTGAAAGAATTTACCATTTTTTGAGAGCCCAAATTGACCCACTCATTGATTTTCTGCTAAGAAATCAATTAAGATGATGAGTCAAGACAAGAACTACTGAAATTTCCTTCTGATCGTGGGTTTACCACAGGTTACAATACTTCTGCTCATAAAGAGGCAAGTCCAGTGCTTTCTGAAGACCACTCTGACATGCTCTGCCAATGGAAGCCACCGCAGAGCAGCTTTAGACTGGTAGTCTCACATCCACACCATCAGCAAACCCAGACACGGTCACATTGTTTTCATCTAAAACGTCTCATGAAAAAGAAGCAAGCAGGATGCTAGACTTGATTTTCTTGGACTAAAAATCAAATTGTTACACCTACTCCAAAGACTGCAGATGCAGACAGGTGTTCCTTGAATTGCTCTCTGACATCACTAACCATTTTAAAAATACATACAACTTCCCTTTGGTAGAACAACTTCTTTTTATAACACCTGCAGCACTACAACATTAGAAAATTAGCTGTTTCTTATGCTCAGAAGATGACACGAGGTCCCCAAAATATACAAATAGAGGTTTAAGCTGACCTAAATCAACACTGAAGTCTGAACCCATGTTTACTGGAGGTCACAGTGTCCCAGCTAAAGCACTGACCCCCAAGCACAGCACTGTTCCCCAGCCTAATGTAGATATCTCTGCAAAGAGAGCTGTAGCTGCTTGGATGGCTTCTTTGGGACGTCAAATCCTTGGTTTCACTTTACAGGCATAAAGGAGAGGAGAAGAGTACATAATTAACAGGTAGGGTTAACCAGAAGCATGCTTGTCCTTGCTGGAAGCTCTGATTGTGAAATTCATAGCAGTCTCACTGATGTATCAAACAGCTGGTACTCATCTGATCTGTATCTTCTGCTCCTTTTGCCCTCCATTCCTTTCTCTAGCACCCTGCTTCTCCTCACCACCAGCATAAGCTCACTTCTGTAAGAACCTACAAGGACATTCTTGGAAATGGGCACAATTCCCATTTCCCTGTTGCTATTGCAATAGCACCCAGCAGCAACTTTAGCACTACCTGCACAGAGAGTGTCTGGGGACCCAGCACCTGCAGGAATGCAAGGGACTGACACTGGCACATCTGTATATATCTTTTCCCTGGAATACCCAGCCAGCCACACAGTTGGGGATTGTCCCAGTGTCTAAATTTCCAGCCATTCCCCTGTCAAGGAAGAATACAGATCATAAGCCACTTGCTCTATATATCAGGCAATTGGAACTAGAGTTCTGCAATCTGCACAGCATGAATTTGGTGCTTTCCTTCCGCGTGACAGCATCACTGCAGCTTTGCGATTACTTTATGAACTTCCTTCCTTTCAGTGTCAGTGGAAATAAGACCGAGGAGCGGCCTCTTCACAACACCAGTCCCAGCCTAGAGATCACTCCAGTCAGTTGTTCTAATGAGTGACATTCTCATTCTGATGAGCAGACACCACGAGAGAGAGCTCCTCTCTTGCTCCAGGACTGACACTGTTTAGTTAGGCTACCTTAAGCCAGACTGATCTCACTAAGGATTTAATCAAAAGTCAAGGCCTTATCCTAAGGGCTCTATCACAAAAGACTCCAGAGCAGAGGTTGCTGTGGGGCAGCGACTGCCTTCCCAAAGAAGGGAAGTGCTCATGGCCCCCCACACTGTCTCTACGCAAAGGTGATCTGACCTCTTTAATGTCATGATGCTTCTTTGATGTTTAACTCAGCGAATAAGTGCAATGGAGTAGGCTGCGGCCATTTCAAGCTGTTACCAAGCTTCCACTAAGGACATTAGGTTACTTAATAAAAATACAAATCTTCTGATCCAAAGATACATCCAAGATGTGTTCAAAATGCGTTATGTAGTATTCAGACAAGAGATAACTGCTAGCAAGTACCTCTATAATCACTAATACCACATTATTTTACTGCTTAAGGAATTCTGTTCATTTGCCTATTCTTTTTGGAAAAAATGATCCTTTTTTTAAAAACTGAAGTATGTTTCCCTACACCTCCTTAACGTGTTCAGAATTAGCTTCCTCCTCCACTTGGTCCAAAACTGCCCACTTACCTTCTTAACCAAGTAGCCCTCCCTTATGCGCATTGGTTCTCGCTCCATTTCTCAGGCAATCCTGCTCTCTGGTCTCTCAGTGCTGGCAGTTAAGTTCCTCTGGTAGAAAAGCCAGTGGGCTGGCGTTTTTCACAGTACAGCTGTGTCACTTTCACAAGTTCCTCTGCCTGCTAATCACATGAAAACAAGCCCATTTCCTCTTACAGAGTGAGATAGGGAAACGCAGAAGCATGTGTGTATTTATAGTTTGCCTCTGACAGAACACAACAGCTTGCAAAACACTCAACTGTATCAAATACGGCCAGCCTTGATGACAGAATCCTGGGAAATTAAATAAGTATGTTAGTGCCCAATCCCAAGAAATCAGGCCCACTCTGCAAATACATGAAATCTAGCAAAACAACAAGCAAGGCGGTATGCTGTGTTGCTGCTTGGTGCATGCCAAAAAGATCTCAGAGGCAGGTTTCCAACTCACCAGTTCTGTCACTTCATCCAGTCTTTGAAGACTGGCTCCCAGTGGGTGAGCACATGGGTTCTGGCAGCGAGCTGGAGGGCCCTCACTTAGTTAATGATGATGCGCCCTCTGCTGATACAAGAAATTTATTTATCAGACTTGATCAGGTTTTGGAGTTCAGTGCTGAGACCACCCAAAGAAGTTAGCTGTCAAATAGGCAAAAATGGATTAAATCAGCTCATTGCAGAAAGTGCTGCAGAACATCACTTTGTATGATCATCTTTTACTGGCTGCAGAGTTCATTTGGCTATAATTGGTAAAAAAAATAAAACAAACCCATAATTTTCCGAAAGTTGATACATAGCAGAGTCACCATCCCTCTTCCCCATTCAGAAGCAAGGGTGGTGGTATATGGGAGGCAATAAAGAAGCAGCTGCATTGCCGAGAGCAAAGTATTCTCCCATGCACAAGACCCCAGATCATCACTTTTACAGCTGAGTCTGTTCAGATAAGGGTTGAGCCCAGGGTTACTCCATCTGTCACCTCTGCCACTTGTAAAAATCCCCAAAGAGGGACTTTTTCTGCAGACAGCAATTCCTGCTCTCCATTTGACTCTGTCTCAGCCTTTACTCGGGCGTATACAGAAGTCTGACAAAGTCTGTGATTGAGGATCAGATTAGAAGAGGCCTCACCTCAGAGACTTTCTCATCCTCATTGATGCCTATCTAGTGGTTCTCCCACAGAGGAGACTCCACTCCTTCCTCAGTTATCTGTATTAGTGCTTCACTATCCCAACTACTGAATGTTCATCTTCACTGTCTGAACTGAGATTTTTCTTTCCAGACCTTTCTCAACTAGCTGCTGCTCAGATGACCCCTCCAGTCTCATCTTCAGGCAGAGCACCTGTCTGTACCAGCAGTCTTGGGCTATACAGTTTGCAGTGCATTCTGCCCAAAGCATGCCTTTTTGTGATGATTTTCTGGATTATTAGGTCATTCAGGTTTTGTTTATAGAACCTACAGAGTCTCAGTATGTTGTTCCTTTGCTCATGTAAATCATGATATTGTGAGGATCTGATTGCTGTTAAAGGCCCTAGCTGCTGACCAAGCTAAATCATCCATTAGGCAGTTTGCAAATCAAAGATTCAATATATGCTTTCCAATTCCAAGTGTACTTGACATCAGGCAAGAGATTCAAAAATTATTAGAGAGACAGAAACTCACACATAGTACACGTGCTCTTTGGAAGCCGAGCTAGAAGTAAAATTTTATCACTAAAAAGTAATCAGAAAGCTTTGTGTCACATTTAGAGTAAAGAATCTGCCTACCAGTCCCAGGGCCTAGAAAGAATTGAAGATGCATTCCCAGAGTTGAGATGATCTAACTGAATTCCTGAGTTACATTTCTGTGAAGGCCTCCTTCATTTCCCATAAGCCTTAAAATTATGCTTGATGGACTCAGCAGACTTCTCCTGTATAATGTCTTCTTTGGTCAGTAATTCCTTTTGCTTTAAGAAGGTGAATTATTTCCTTCTCTTCCCTTTCATTCCAGTGGTTCCATCTTTGGGAAAAGGTACACTTTTTTTTTTTTTTTTCTCTGATTGGATAACCCAAAAATACAGGTCATAGACAACTCAAATTAAATACCTTTCACAGTATGGCTAGATGCCAAGCTATCCCTTTATTAGCTGCCTTGAGGCCATAATGCTACAGAACCTGGGCAAGCATTAGGGGTGAAGAGCTGGCTTACAGTTGGCTCTTCCTTCTGTCTTTACCTTGCAGCCCCTCAGATCTGAGGAAAGGGAAAGCCTCCCCCAGCTGGAAGGATTTACGAGGAACAAAGACAAAAGAATCTGCCAGCATTTTCCTCCCTGCAGGCAGCCTTTCCATAGGTTTTCCTGCTCTCCTGCTCTTGCTGGTTCAGTTGTGGGAACGAAGAATTGATGGTTAGCAAAATTGTAAACTGACCCTCAAACTAGAAGGACGGTTGTGGGTAAATGAAGCAGCAGTGCAGATCACCTTGTTGTGAGCATGAGAAGTTGCAGGTCAGAATAGCACCTGTGGAGCGTGTGATGAGCGAGTGGTCAGTAAACAGACTAGATCTGAGGGTCAGTAGGATGGGAGAAACAGAAATAAAAGATGTAAACACTGGAGTAAACAGACTAGAACTGAAGGTCAGTAGGATGGGAAAAACAGAAATTAAAGATGTAAACAGGGGGTAATAAATCGGGGGCTTGCATACAGATGGCAGCATTTGCTCTTGGCAATGCTCCCCCTTCACAAACAGAGGATTTTGTCATTATTTGGCACGTCATTCTGATCCCAGCTGGACCAAGACTGGCATTCAGTGTTTGTGCTGAGTCAGGATGACAGGGCTCTGCACAGTAAATTGGTGATATGAAATGTCCAGGAACAGATCCTCTTCAATAGAACATCTATATAACACTATATTAAAAAGTAGTTTAATCTGAACAAAAAAGGATGCTGACTCCACACTTTCACAAAAGCTCAGTTTCTCATTTACCTGCATGAAAAGCCCTTAGAGGTGTGAAATACAATTCTAGACAGAGTGGCACCAAGCAAATTACTCCAGAATCTACCATTAGCTACTTAAGCAACTCAGTGTGAAAGCATAAAATTACCTCCATCCAATATTAGCTGGAAACAACTACTTTTATAACACTTCTTTTCTTTATATTGTTTCTATTTCATCTTCAAATCTCAGATATCTCTTTTGCCCTTCTACCTTTACAAGTCTGGAACAATCCTTTTCTTTTAACACTGAGGCTTGGTTTCATTTATCACACATCATCACAGAGGAATCAGCACTTCATCTTGCCCCAAGCAGAAACGTGCGGATCAGCTAAATCACTCATGTAAAGCAAAATGGTCTTTAGCCATACAGTAGCCATGTCAGGTGTGAGGGATGGCCTGGACTGCTGGTGCATGCCTTCTTTATGCAGCCATTCCTAAAAAGTAGCATCAGGCATAAGAGAGCAGAAAAGCTGTATTTCTTCTAGCTCTCCACAGACTGGAGGATAGAGCGTTGTCTGGCAGAAAGTAACCTGCATTGTGAAAACCTGCTATAACTTACCCTGTTCTCCTCATTTCTGTCCTTAGTAGGTAAAGGAGTGTGAGGCTGGATTAGTAACATGTCACAATAGCACAATCAGTATCAGAGCTCTGTATCTTAGCTCAGTTTGCTGGTGGGTGATCTGTTCTTGCACAGAAGATCTTGCTCCTGTATTTCCTCAGAAAATTCTGGGTTTTTTTCTGCTACTTCAGGGTGCAATCCTGCAAGAATTTAAAAAAAAAAAAAAAAAAAAAAAAAAGTGACCTTATCTGAGCAAGGGATCTAGCTGAGAGACTGATGGGTGTTTATACCAAAAATTGGAACCATATCTTTGCAAATAAATGTGTCAGCTGCAAGGAAGACAGGCAGCTTCTCAGCTTGTTACTTTAGCTTCACTGCGCTCTCTGCTAGCCTTGCATAGCTGTTCTTCAAACATGTTTGCTGCATTGTAAATGCCATAAACCCACTCCATCTGTAACAGAGCACGAGAATTCTCCATAAATATGCATCTCTCCAGCAAATCAATCTGCATTTCCAGGGGAAATTAAATCAAATGCAGTGTGTTCAAAACGACTGCCTACATGGAAAAATAATATACACAAGTGGTTTGTAAAGGTGATAAAGACTCAGTCTGGCTTATAGTTCAGTAAAACCCTTTCTCACTTCTGCGTAGAGGCAGAGACCTCAAAAGAATTACAGTATTAAATTGAGAGCTGGCAGGTGCAAGTCTCAGCACAATTCACTCCATATGGAATCACACATATGGCTATTTTTAGCAGATGAGCGATTGTGGCTCTGGATCCACCTCTCGAAAAGAAGCCCGAAACTGGAACACTTCCAAATTTAGCACTGTGTTAAGAAAGGAATCAAAGAGGGGCAAGTATAAAAAGACCGTTACAGGTATTGTCCATGTCACCTTGGAATCTAAATGCTGTGGGTTGGCTGTCATAAATGAACCATCTTGTTCTGACCTCAAGGCACATTTTATATATTTAATTATTGTGGAGCTACGAAGTAGAATTAGTGCAGCAACTCTAAGTGGGAAGGCCTGCATAAACAATTAATACTGAAAAGCTTATGCAGTTGACATATCATCATGCACAGAAAGATCATATTGAGCGGACACAGTCAAGAAACCAAATGGATTTCTCCAGTATGTTTTCTAGACAAATTGGACTAGCACAAAACATAGGCCATGACTTATCTGCATATTAGCTCTGGCTTTTCATTGGATGCATCCTACCTCACCTGTGAACCTACTCACCTCTGCCCTGCAGTCGTTCCCCATCAGTGACACATGCAGGTGAGGTAGCTGCAGCAGGGAAGGCCTAGTCACAAGAGAGAGGTCTTGAAGGATGAAGCTGCAGTGTGACAAGACTTTCTTAGTTCTAGGAAGAAAAAGAGAGATGAGAATAGCTGAGCGTGCTGGCTGCAGCTCACTTGCAGGGGCTCACCACCCCCTTCAGAAGCACTAAGGGGTTCACCAGCGCACAGGGGAGTGCTGCAATGTTCCTGCCTCAAGGGAAGTGAATTAGTTTAACTTACCTTGCTGATTCCAGACAACAGGTTGGGAAGCCTCAGGTGCCAGGGAAAAAAAGGTAGATTTGAAGGACTGAAAAAAATAAAAAAGGCACTTTTGCACTGTACAAAAACATTAAAGATTCCAATGTTGACCCCTCAAATGTAGGTGAAGAGATCATATGAATGGACACAAATTTACCTCTTTGTTCCTGGAAGTAAATTACTTCTGTGGCTTAGGAGAAATGGGACCTTGTCCTAAGCCTATGATGATATATTTAGCTTTGAATTTTGCTAGCACATTTGCTCTGTGCTCCTGGCAAAACCACACTGTCTCCTTCATCCTGCAGTTATTTTGCTCCCTACAGAATATCAGACAATTAACATGAAGTAACCATGCAGCAGCTTGGGGGTTGAGACACACAGAAAATCCTCACAGGGACTGGAAGGGCATGGGTGTCTCTAGCCAGGGCCAATCCCACCATACCCATGGGGATGGTCTAAAGTCAAGCCAGGTAGTCAGCCTGCAGACCAAGATCAACAACATCCACAGCTGGATATGTCTGTGGCAGATGTGGAGAACAGCACTCCTAAGCATAACTGAGAAAGGGAGAGAAGGCCCAAGGCTGAGCTGAAATGGAGCCCATGGGCAGAGCTGTGGGCAGGTGCCCCGGGTGAAGCAGGTCAGGGTCATTAAGGTGGGCAGCAACAAAACTAACCTCCCAGAAAGACTCAGCAAAGGCAAGCCCTCCCCTTGATCTACACTGATAAAGAGTATCTGGTAGGATCAGATAAGTAAATGTACATGAAGTTATTGGATTGATTGGAGAAAAAAAAAAAAAAAAAAAAAAAAAAAAAGCAATGCCTGTTTAAAATTCCTCCTTGATAAATATTCTACTCTGACCAATGTTTCACTTTACATGGTAAAAGTTACTCAGCCTATGCATACATAATCCATAATATGATGCTTTTTTAGTTCTCCCTCATTCTTGCCACTTTTTGCCATAGTGGTTTGGAGTAAAGTCATAGCCTGAGCTGTGTCAGAGAAAGATATCATTCAGGCAGAAATAATAAGGGAAAAAACCTCGGTATAGATCTGACCTCTTATGTATTTGGAAAATTAACTGTAATCAATGTCTTCAGCTACACACAATTTACTACAACATGATATGTCTGGCCCATGAGGCAAGTAAAACTGATCCCTGGCAATGGCCATTATTCTTTACACACCACTTTAAGTGATACTATCAGGTTCCCCACATGTAAGGCCTCTGTGATTTTGTACTGAATTACATTTAAATTTACAGAAGTGGGAATTGCTGCAAGCAAAACTTCCAACAAGCCACAAAGTGCAGCAGTTTCAGCAGAATATAATGAAAAATGAGAATTCTCTTGTAATGAGCAAAAAAGATAAGGAGAAACACAAATTTAGTCTTCTTTTATGGAGCCATACTATTACGAGATAAATGTCTATATATAGCAGCTTCTTCCTCATCTGAAAACCTGTGCATACCCTTTGATTGTCTGATAACTTCCAAGATATTTTTGAGACCATTCATTGTTGATCTCAACAATGGTTGAAGGGATTAATTTTACCTAACTTTTGGTGGACTGCTTTTGAGGACCTTTAAAGTCAGCAGATATCTTTGCAACAAATCTGTGAGTTCAGTGTATGATTTGTGATCAAATGTTGGTCCCCACTGTGGGATGAATTGCTCCTGCAACTTATGACTTCATTAGATGCAACTACTTTTTGATTAGATGCCCTTTGACAATACAAGTCTTATGTGACTCACCAAGCACAAAAGATTCTTCTCAAACATTAATGCTGATAATGCTGCTACCTCATCATACACAGAGAAATGTTGATTTTTTTTTTTAATAGCATTTGTTTCACTCTTGACTCTTCAGCGGGAGAAGCAATGACTGCACTGCCTAACTACTTCCCTGTAGGGAAGTTCCTGCTGCCAGTGACTGCTATCAAAGGTAGGATGTTACTTACAAAACTCATCACATACATAGTTTTTAGAGGCAGGGATCACACCCTGCCCTTATCTTTGTGGAATCCTGGCTGGCTGAACACATTATGAAACCTATTCTTAGTTGGATATCTGATCAAGGCAAATACAGTAGGGTTTGTTTGTTTGTTTGTTTTTTCCCCAGAGGTTGTTTTCAACAGAATGTATTCTTTTGCTTAATGTTCACAATAAGATTTATTTCACTGATTAACTTGCACGCACAAACAAATGCAGCTGGGTAATGCTATATCTTCCATTCGGTTTAGCAATACTACCTTTTACCACCATGTGTACATCCCAGCTCAAGAAAAACAAAGAAAAAGGCCAGGTCCAGCGCAACACGTAACTGTGAAATTCTCCTAATAAAATCATTAACTCTGCTATAATGACCAATCAAACAAGAAATATATTTGTGGCCTAAATCCCGTGTCAGCCATAAGAATGTTGCAGTTTTAACAGCAAACAAGAACAAATGAAAAATAATGGAAAGGATGCACAAACCTGCTCCTGGGTTAAACTATTAGATGGGAATGAGACCGGCAGGGAGTTGAATTATGGTACAACTTCCAGTTTCAGAGATCTTTCTTCTTGAAGAAATGGTACCAGCCATAGGTAAAGAGTAGTATTAGACTTAAATAAATGAGATTCTGATCTGATACTGCAATTACAGTGGGATTTTTTCCTATTAAAATAAGAAGATTGCAATAAAGTGCTTTAAAAAATCCCAGCAGAAACTCTGAACCAAATATCGATGTTGACTGCTGACTTCCGGGAGCAAGAAACTGACCCTCAGTCTAGGGACGGTGGCTCACAAAAGCCTTTTTTTGTACAGGGAGGGAGAAGAGCCACCAAACCACGTCTTGGCTTTCGGCCCTCCCCTCCCTCTCTCAGGCAGCCCTGGCTCCTTCGAGCCGCCATGCAGATGCTTCAGTCCACCCCAGCGGGCTCGACCAGCCCGCAGGAGACGGCTCCCCGCGGGGAGGGGCTCAGCAGGGTGATTTGGAAGGGGGTCAACACCCCCCCCCCCCCCCCACGCGTGCCCCCAGCGCGCTGCCCGGGGCGGGGCAGCCCCGTGGGGCGCTCCCCGCCCGCGCCGCTGTCCGCAGCCGTGGTGCTGAACCGGCGCCGCCCGGCCCGCGGCCCCGGGGCTCCCTCCGCCACGAACGGCGGGATTAAGGCTGCACTAATCGGGGCCGGATTAACTCCCTGGAAACCGACGGCAGTCGGAGCAGCTGCAAATGTCCCCCAGATGGGGAGATTTGCGGGGGGGTGGGGTGGGGTGGGGCGGCCGGGGGAACGGGCTGCATCCGCCGCCCAGATGCTGCGCCGCGATTAGGGGGAGGGGAAAAAAAAAACCCAAATATATCATCTACCGCTTTTGGGAAGGGCTGGGCTGGTTGGGATCCGGCAGCCCCTCCTCTTCCTCCTCCCTCCTCCTCCTCCTCTCCGTCGCAGACTCGCTCTTCTGTCCCAGCCTTCAGCGGAAGGGGCGAGAGGAGCGCAGAGCCCGCAGTTCCACCCCGTGGCGACAAGCGATGGGAGACATCCCCGGCCTCGTGAAAATCAGCGTCTCCCTCAAAATCCAGCCCAACGACGGGGCGGTGTATTTCAAGGTGGACGGGCAGCGCTTCGGTCAGAACCGCACCATCAAGCTGCTGACAGGGGCCAAATACAAGATCGAGGTGGCCTTGCGGCCCGGCACCGTCCAGGCCACGTAAGTGCAGCCTCCCTGCTCGGGGCGGCTCCCCCCGGCCCAGCCCGTCCACGCAGCTTTATTTTTAGAGGTTTCATATTTTTTTCCTGCCAGGCTGACGGCACGGGGTTCCGTGATTTCTTCCTCCCCGCCCCTTTTGGGTGGGTGGCCCCCTTTCTCGGTCACTGGCCAGCTGTTCGCGGTTATTTGGCCCGTCTGCCTCCGGCGAGAGGCCGCGTTTAGGAGTCGCTCCCTCCCCACCTTCTCCCGGAGCTCTTTCAAGCCCAGGTGCTTTCGTCCCGCCGTGCCCGCGGTTTGCCCTGGAGGCAGAGGGAAGCGGCAGCTCCAGCCCTGCACTTCAGGGCTGCAGCACACCCAAACCTTGCTGCAGCATGGCAAAGCACAGTCTGGGACCGGGTAGGATGCAGATAGGGAAGAGGCCCTGGGTGGATTCGCCTAACCTCTCCCCACCTACTCCAGAGCAGATCCCTCCTGCCTCTCCTTTCTACACCTTCCCTGGGTGACTGCAGAGCCCTGACATATCTCAGGAGCCCCAGTGAGTCAGCAGCAGCTGCAGGTCTGCCAAAATCCATGAAGCATCCCCCAGCGCAGAGGCTGCCAGGCTGTGAGCCCACGTGCTGGCTCCGAACTGCCAGGAAAGGGGCATGCTGGGCTGCTGAAAGGCTGGATCTCCTCTCTTTGCAGGACAATGGGCATCGGGGGTGTCAATGTCCCACTGGAAGAGAAATCAAGGGATGCACAGGTAGCCTCTTACACAGGCATCTACGACACAGAAGGGGTGCCCCATACCAAGAGTGGGGAAAGACAGCCCATCCAGGTCAACATGCAGGTATGTGGTTCTCCAGGCCTGGCATGGGAAGACAAGGGAAGGCAGCAGGGCGTTGAATCCCAAAGAAAGGTGTGGAGGTCTAATATTCCAGGGCAAACTGATCACAGCTGCTGCCCTCCTCTCTGCTTTGCATCAGTAAACCGGAAAACACAAGCCCTGCTTCCCGAAGGGAAGCCGGAAGGGCAGCAAGGGCCAGGAAGCGATAGGGTGATTTACAGAGACATGCAAAGCCCTTTGGGGTGCTTCAGCAGAAAGAAATGGGTGCTGAACCCCTCTTGCCTCTTCTGCAGGATTTCAGGCAACTCATTC